GGGCGTCGGTGAAAGCTTGGCGCCAGTTCTCGAAGGGGATGGTGACGTCCACCATCATGATCTTCTTGGCCTCCTGGTCAGTGATGACAATGTTGGGGCGCAGCTGGCTCTTGCAGCCCAGGACGGTGCGGTTCACGGAGATCTCCCCCATCCCGGCCGGGATGGCCCTCACCAGGCGGTCCTGGACCACGTTGTGGCAGAGCTGCTAGGCCCTGGCATGCGGCTTGCAGCTGCACAGCACGTGGGGGAGGGTCTCTGTCACGTAGCCGCACCGTCGGCACCTCTTGTCCCGGTGGCCGAAGTGCACAGCCCCGTTCAGAGGCAGGCAGTTGAGGCGGGCGCGGTGGAGGAAGCGCCAGTCCGCGAAGCGCGTGAAGCTCCCGCCGGGCATGAAGTGGTTGCTAGCGTCCCACTTGGAGGTGACGTCGAAGACCTTGCCCTGGTCGGGTTTGGCCCTCAGGTCGCCGGCGTACTTGTTGCGGACGGCGTCCTTCAGGAACCTCTCCAGGAAGGTCCTCGTGCGGGGCGTCACGGCGATGAGGTCGGCGTGCGGGGCCGGGCGCAGGGTGACTCCCAGCTCCCGGCGCTCCTCGGACCAGGTCCAGGCGCAGCCGATGCGGTTCCCCAGGCGGCGCGTGGCGTTGCGGGCTCGGCTCCACAGCGAGGCAAAGTCCCCGCCGTCTCGGCTGAACTCGCCCTCCAGCGAGCCGCTCAGGAAGGTGGCCAAGTCTTGTCCGGTGGGCTGTCGCCCGATCCTCTTGCGGGCGGTCTCCTCCAGGGCGCTGGCGGCGATGATACTTACCGTGGCGTCCGGGCAGGTGAGGAGGCGGAAGGCGTGGGTGACCACTGCGATGTCGCAGAGGTCTCCCATGCGGGGCACGTTGGTGCCTCCCTGCCGGTAGCAGATGTGCAGGACCTCGTTGCTGGCCCGCAGCAGCAGGTGCAGCCACTTCTTGAGCAGCCGCCGGATCTTGGTGTCCGCCTTCTACAGCAAGATGAAGTCCTGGTTCCTTGGGGTCTGAGACCAGGTCTGTACCCCTCCCCTCCCTCCACCATGAGCATCATCTGGCTGAGTTCCTGCAGAGAGACTTTACAGGGCTGGAACACATCTGTAAATTACATCTGGATGCCTTTCTTTAAGAAGACAGAGTATGCTGGTTAACTGGAGAGTTCTTGGGCATGTCTACACAAGATGTTTACTGTACAGTTGACTGATTCATAGATTGTATGGGGCTGGAAGGGACCTTTCAAGATCATCAGGTCCAGCCCCCCTGCACTAGGCAGGAAAGACAAACGGGGTCAGGTGACCCCAGCGAGGTGACTGTGCAGTCTCCTCTTGAAGATTTCTAGGGTAGGTGACTGCACCACCTCTTGCGGAAATTTATTTCACAGGCTGGACACCCTGACTGCGAAGAAGATTTTCCTAGTGTTAAGCCTGAAATGGTCTTCCAGGAGTTTGTTGCCATTACTAATGGTTTTCCCCACAGGTGCCCTGGTGAACAGTTGTTTGCCAAACCCTTGATGTATTCCCCTGATGTAGTGGTGGGGCTGAAGAGACCCAAGTTCCTCAGCCTTTGCTTGTATGACTTGCCTTGAAAGTTTCTTATCATTTGGGTAGCTTTTCTCTGGACTCTTTCAAGCTTTTCCACATCCTTGTTGAAGTGCGGTAGCCAGAACTGGACGTGGTCTCACCAATGCTGAGTAAAGTGAAAGAATCACTTCCTTGGCTTTGGTTGAAATGCATTAGTTGCTGCATGCCAGAGTATTGTTTGCCCTGCTGGCTACAGCATTGCACTGATGGCTCATGTTCATACTATGGTCTATTATTACCCCTATGTCTCTTTCTGTTGTGGTGCTAGTCAGCTTGGTGCCACTGAGCCTGTAAGTATGCTGGGGATTGTTCATTCCCAGATGGAGCACTTTACACTTCTGAATGTTGAACTTCATCTGGTTCCAATACACCCAACTAGCCAGCCTATCTAGGTCCAACTGTATCTGCAACCTATTTTCAAGCATGACCATGTTTCCCCATAACTTGGCGTCATTCACGAACTTGGCCAGTGAGCTTTTCAACCCCATATCCAAATCATTGATAAAGATGTTGAAAAGCACTGGACCAAGCACAGTCCCCTGAGGGACACCACTGGCCACTTCTTGCCAGAATGATACAGATCCATTCATCAGAACTCTCTGGGTCCTACACTGCATCCAACTTCCTGGATGATCAGCAACTGCCTGCACACACCGCCGGCGGTGTTGGTGGCAAGTGAGGGGGGGGTGAAGGGGGCAGGTGGCAAACAGTGGCCACCTGCAGGCACCGCCAGCGCTGTCAGTGGCATCTAGTCTCAGGGGATGAACTGCCAGTCTCAGGGGGTGCAGATGCACCCGTGTACACTGCCTACACATTGCCAGTGTCTCAAGAAAAGCTATCCTTTCAATTCTGCTGCCCAGCTTACCAACAGGACAGGTCAGCCTTAAGTGCCAGCTGTCACCTTCAAAAGAGGAATCTTTTTGTCCCTACACAGGTACCTTTCAATCCCAGGATCCTCTGTGGCTGCCACCTGTTTGTAAATTTACACAGTCCATACAAAAAAAAGGGCTAAAAATGCTTTTAAAAAAAAGCCAGCTGTCTGAAAAAACTAAGAAATCATGATCTTGACTGAAGGTCTGTCATTGGAATGAGGCTGCATGCAAGTGGTGATGAACAGACAAAGCAAAGCATCACTACCCTTTGTCTGAGTAGGAGCACAGTTCAGGCCCCTGCAGGGAGCTTTCCAAGAGGGTTTTGTGACCCACAGGATCCTCTGTAGCCCCCTTTCCCGCTCCACAAGCTATGTGCTGTTACTGCATCCCATTGGCCATTGCCTGCCTGTAACATATGTTTGGCTCAAAAGTAGACAGAACCATGGTGCTCAGGGTAGTCTGAGGCACTAGATGAGACAGGGAAAAGGGTGGTGAAGCTGGGACAGCTGTGGGGCTGAGAGCGGGAAGAGTTGGGTGGTGGGGGTCTATGTCAGGATTGGGGAGCAAGATCAGTGGGGGTAATGTTGGGGTGTGGGCTAGGGTGGAGGCATCATGGTATGCATTTGCATGCAAAGTTTGGAGGTTGGGGCCTACCCATGTATGTTTTACAGTTTGTGGGCTGGATCTTACTAGGTCTTAGGGCATGGGATCACTTTTGTCTGGAGAAGAGATGACAGAGCCACACAAAGCAACCGTGGGTGAGTTTCTCTTCCCAAGGGACTGAGCTAGGTGGTAGCTCCCCTGGGTTAGTTTGCTAGTGACTGAAACTATTAACTGGTTGGGTTTCACTTAATGTTTAGTAGTTAAGGTTTTCTCCAAGGTTTGATTTGTTTGTTCATTCCCTTTTCCCCGCTGTAGTAAATATTGTTTTAACTGAACATTTCTTGTGAATAGGGAAGTTTGTTCACTTTAGAATACCCACTTAAAATGTATTTTTATAGGGTTCTGGGTGGGAGCTGAAGCCAAATTTAGAAAGTTGGTGTTAAACCCCTAAAATTGAACCTGGTCTTTGTTTTTCAGGGCCTCGTAGGATGTTATGTAAGACACATGTCAGTAAAAATGTGTCAGTAAAAATATGTATCAGTCAGAAAGTTTTGTTGTTAGTGAAAAGTTTGCAGATTGTCAATATTTTTTTCTTTCAGCTAGCAACACTTTTTGTAGTAGTCTTAGTTCTTTCTTAGAAATACATTTCATCCACTCCATAGGATTCTGGGATATATTTGGGGCCTGAGAGCTACCACCGAAGACAACCAAGCACAAAAAGGGACACAGCTCTGAAAGAAATATCACAGAGTAGAAGCCACATAGTTTTGGTAAAAGAGGCCCATGAGAGACATTCCTAGGGTTACTATACATCCAGGTTTTCCTGGACATGTCTTTTTTGGGGGTCCTCTGATCTCTGTCCAGGTGTTTTTTGAAACAGGAACTGTCTGGGACACTTGCCCTAGTTGCACGCATGTTTACAAGGGATCTGAGCTTTCCATTTGCTGAAGAAAAACACGCATTTTCCTCTTTAGAGGAGGAAATCGCAGGATTCCACTTGCAGGCTGGCAGCCTACCAGCCTGCAAGGAGATGCTTGGGTCAACTGGAGGAAAGGGGGTGCCATGTGCATCTGTGTGTGCACACATGTGGCCAGCATACAACCAGGCAGGGTGGTGGAATCAGCCCCAGCAGCTGGATGCAGGTAAATCTATGGGGAGTGGGGGTTGGAGGGCCAGTACTTGGGGACTGTCCGGGGGTGTGGGTGTTTGTGCAGCAGAGGTGTGTGGAGGGGATGGGTGTGTAAGTGGGGATGGATGCCTGCCGGCACTGGGGAAAGGTGGCTGGGCAGTGGGGCTACAGCAGGGCTGGGTGGGTATGGTGGAGGTGCCTGCCCCTCCAGTGAAGGAAAGGGGCAGGGGAGCCCTTCGGAGGCAGTGGAGATCTGTGTGGCTGGGCTGGTGGCACCAGGGCTGATGCCCATGCTTACAGGGGCAGGGTGGCTGGGAGATGCTATCTGGGGTTGGGGAGCCATAGCCAGGCTGCCTGGCGCAGCACAGGAGCCCCAGCCCAGGAAGGCAGGGTGCCACAGGAATCCTCTCCTCCTTCCAGTCCATGCTGGGGCTGGATCGCTCCTCCAATGCCTGCACGAGTTGGAGCTGCCACAGCCATTGTGCTCTGGCCTGGTCAGGATGAGGGCAGCTGGGGGGCCCCACCAGCAGGGCGGGGGGGAGGGCAGGGAACTGCAGGTCAGGAATGAGAGGCACCATCTGGTAGAGGGGCAAGGGGCTAGTCAGGAGTGAGGAATGTAGGACAGGAGTGTGGTCAGGAGTGAGGGACACCAGCAGGGACAGGGGGACTGTGGGTTGGGAGGGAGAGGCACCAGCAGGGTCTGGGGGGATGGGGGACTACCCTATATAGTCATCTACCTGCCTCCCTACCCCAACAGGTGTCCTCTTTTTTGAAACTAGGAATATGGTAACCCTAGACATATTTTTCCTCATTGTTTAGGGCAGGGCTGTCCAACTAGCAGTCCATAGGCTGCATGCTTCCATATGCCTCTGGGCTCTTTCTGACTGCTTCTTCTCTCACTGCTCTGGTGGCTGCTACGACCTGGGTGTCTGGGTCCCCTCTTCCTTCCCTGGCTTTCACTTCATATCCTTCCCCAACAATGGGCATGGCAAGGCATGGGCAGCATGGTGTGACCTGTAGTGCAGCAGGGGAGCCCACAGCTGGGGAGATGAGGAAGACCATGGGCCCCACAACGTGCAGTTCCTAGCCACTAAGGAGTTGGACAGCCCTGGCCTAAGGCATCAGTGAACTTCGGGCAAGCTCTGAGATGCAGAACCTTGTTTTATCCAGGGATAACAGCACCAAGCTGCAGCTGCTTCAACAGTCCCCCCCTGAAATCACTGGGAACTGACCCTTAGCCTTCTGTAACCCTGAGGAAGTTTCATGACAGGATTAGAAAGTCCTGATTAGTCTCTTTTTGGTACTTCTGTGCAAACGCTATATGAACAGTAGGAGTCAAGGGCATTCCATCCTTGGAGGTTTTTAAGGCCCGGCTTGGCAAAGCCCTGGCTGGAATAATCTAGTTTGGGATGATCCTGCTTTTTGCAAGGGGTTGGACTAGATGACCTTCTCAGGTCCCCCCAGAAACCCTAATTTTCTGATTCTGTGATTTGAGACCAGTTTTTTGCCTGTGTTTACTTGTCATTTGAGAAACAGCCAATCACATAGTCCCTGCGCACAGAGCCGGTATATTTCAAAGGCACAAATATTTTGCACCTATGCAACCAAAATATTTCCCAAAAATAAATGACTAACTTCATTGGCATTTAAGTGTATAACCAAGGGTCAAAACTGGCTGATGTGACCGTGTGAGAGAATGGTAACCTTCAGACACCCAGAATTTCACTGGAAAAAAGGGCCTGACAGCAACCCAGCCACTGCTACTGCTACTGCACCAGTCACCACTGTTGCCCAAGGTGCAGAATTGCCCAGCTATGCCTCTGATATCATTAACTGACACTACCATGAACCATGAACTATCACTTCCTTGTAGTACAGAGGACCCAGAAGAGGTTAGGCTGATGAAGTAGAATCACAACAGACAGAGGGCCTCAGATGGTAGCAAACAGTGCAGCCCTTTGAATTCAGCTCCAATCCACAGACTTCACCAGAATGCCAGTGAAGTGTGCCAGCTGAGAAACCAATCTCATTTTTGTAGATCAAAGCAAAACATTGCACCGAGACTCCAAGCAGCTGGTCTCTGTGCTTCTTCCAACCATAAGCCTGACTGACATGAGCAGCAATGAGGATACCCTAGAACTAGCCTGAGGATAAGGATTAAACACCCACTTGGAGACTGACTCAGTGGGCAAGCCAAGAGAGCAATCTGTTCAGTGGCAACAGGTCCTCATAATGGCCATGCCTCTCACCCAGTCCCAGCCACACCCAAAAAGAAGCAGATGGCACTCTGTGATGCTCTGTAGAGGCAGGACTAAGTGCAGTTCTGGGTGGACAAAAAGGCATAGTTGATTTAAAGGACACCAATCACCAGGCCACAATGTGCATCATTGATGATATGTAGGGGGTGCATGTGGGTGCACATGCACCCCCTGAGATTGGCTGTGCACCCCCTGGAAGCGCCAGCCGTGAAACTGGAAGTGCACTTCTGGTTTTGCCACTGGCTCAGTGATCGGCTGCTGAGGGACAAACCCCACCCCTCCGGGTCAGTGATATGGTGCCTCCCCAGATTCGGGAGGCACCAGTCGCCTATCATGTGCATGTAAAAAGTCCCCAGTAAATTCATCTAGCCAAGGTGGTTTAAACATACCCACAAAAAAACTGCTATGTCCAGTAACTGTTCTCTCCCTGGCTAGCTTGATCATGTCAGCTGCTTCATAACTGGGTCCAGCACACTCTGGCTTATCCTTATGTAGTGGGGCAGCAACGGGTAGTTTGTCATCCAATACTGGCAAAGCCAAGTCTTTGCTTGAACTACCTGTGTCACTACACACAGAATCTGCAACCACATCTCTCTCCATGCGCAAAGCTCCAGTTGCAGATGACTGGCCGCCTGCATCTGAAAACACCTGACATGGAGGAACCTGGCTCTTAGGCCCTCTGGTGTCTGGCTGTAGTAAGGACCACCAGGCTGAATCAGGTCCAAACTTGGGTAAGGCCCTAGGAGATAAGTCCTTGGGCACAAATTCAGTCTGTGACAGAACTGAGCATCTGCAGGTGGATTCACTTTTAGGCTGGAGCAAGACTCTCTGGATGAAGCCTGTCCCTGAGTGGAGTAAGGGCCCAGAGGAGGGTTCAGTTTGGGATGACTCATCCTTGGAGGCAGGTAGAGTACTACCAGCGTATGCAGTCTCCGGACAAAGGGAGCTCCTCATGCTTGATTCTGTCTCTGCGGAGAGGGAGCTCCTGTGGGTTGGCTCTGTTGCTTTGTGGAGTATGCACCTGTAGCTGGATTCTCTCTCTGGATGGTATGAGGGCCTGTGAGCTGATCTGATTTCCTGAGGGAGTGATCCCCAATATTTTGATGCATGCTCTGGGGAGAGTGAACCTCTGTGGGTTGCTTCAGTCTGTGTAGGGCTGGGGGCCCTCTGGGTTGATTCGGTCTGTGCTGGGGTGGAGACCCAGTGGGTTGAATTAATCTCTGAAGGGAGGGAACCCCTGTCAGCTAGTTCTGTTGCTTGGTGTAGTGCACACCTGTAGTATGATTCACTTTCTGGATGGTTTAAGGCCCTGTGAACTAATTTGATCTCTGGCTGTTGTGAGGTTGTATAATTTGACCTGGACTCTGGATAGAGGGAGCCCCCGTGGGTTGATTCAGTCTGCGTGGGCAAAGAAACCCTGTAGATTGATTCACTTTCTAGAGGAGGTGATCTCCTTTGTGTCAAGCCTGTGGCTTGGTGGACTGCATACCTGTGGCTTGACTCGCTTCCTGGGTGGTGGGAAGGCCTGCAGGTTGGTGCTCTCTCTAGAGGTAGTGAACCAGTGTGGATTGACTCAGTTAGTTTGGAGAAGGAGCCCCTGTGGATTGTTTCAGCCTCTGGCTTAAGCAATCCCCTCTGGGTCAATTCAATCTGTTTGGGAAGTAGTAGGGCTCTGGACATCAATTCAGCCTGCGTGGGGATGGAGGCTCTGCGGGTTGTTTCAGTCCTGATGGGAAAGGAGACTGGGTAGATGGGTTCAGTTTGGGTAGATTCATCCTTTGGGTGGAGTATGGTTCTGCGAGCTCGTTTGATCTTTGGCTGAAGTGAGTCATCGGTAGCCAAATTAGCATCAGGCTGAGGGGGACCCTTGTGGACTGATTTGGTCCCTAGCATTGGTGAGCAAGGGGTTAATTCTGTCTGCAAAGATTTACTGTTTTGCTGGACAGAAGCTCTATGAGTGTACGTGCCATATTGGGTGTGGGTTCCTTGGTTCAGTTTAGTTTCTGGCAGAGGGCTAGGTGTCTGGTGTGGCACTACCCTCTGTGCATTAAGCCCCTGCTGCACAGCTACCAGTAAATGGCTAGCTGTTACTGATAGCTTTCCTGGCTGAACCATACATTTTCCAGTTTTTAATTCTACTACTCTTTGGGGTGAGGTGCTTTGGCCGAGCTCTGCCCCTCGTTGAGGTGAGGTGCCCCTGGAGAACGCAGTTCCTTGCTGAGGTGAGGTGCTTTGTGGCATCTCGCTCCCATGCCAGGGCAAAGGACTTTGGGAGACCTTGCTCCCACGTCGAGGTGAAGGACTTTGGGAGAGCTCACTCCTTTGCCGGGACGAGGGTTGCTCCTTCCTTTGCTGAGGTGAAGGGCGTTGGGGAAGCTCACTTCCTCGTTGGAGTAAGAGGTCTTGGGAAAGTATGCTGCCTCGCTGGGGTGAGGAATTTTGAGCAAACTTGTTTCTTCCCTGAGATGAAATGCTTTGGGCAAGCTCAATCACTTGCTGAGGTGAAGCACTTGGTGAGACTGTTGTTGCTGGCTGACCAACATTATTCCTTTTCAGAGTGGAACCCATAATCTTCTGCCTTGATTGCCAGCTATCCTGTTACCTGAATGAGCACCATCAGTTCTACAAGATGATGGTCTTTATCACTCCAGGTGAGCTTGTTTTCTTGGGACCTTCTCAGTCATCACCCACTTACTTAACAGCCAGCCTGACAATGCCATAAAAATATGCTGTCATCAGTGACACTGTGACATCATGTTTGGAACATCGTGTTAGCAACCATCTTTTTTCTCCAGGCTCTGAGGAGCTCACAAAAGAATTTTATTAAAAAGAAAGCTTGGAGTTAAGCTGTTAGCACAAGAAAATGAATTCTGGAAACTGATTGACATTTGTTCAGCTCAGTTCCTTTTTTTGCCTGGATAAGCCAGTCTGGATGGGGCTCACTGGTGTTGGAATTATGCAAATATAGTTTTTAGACATGGCTTTATCAGGGCTAGGCTGATCAACTTACTGACCAACCAAACCTTCTTGTCTGGAGCCATGTTTCAAGAATTTCCAACTCAGGTCTCAGATATGGGCTAAGAAAAAAATCCTGAAAATATCCCATGAGTACCTAACCATAATCTGTGTGAAGAAATTTATTTGTAGTGAAAATGACAAGCACAAGTGATGTAGAAAAAACCCACCATATTTCCTGATTCCATCTTGGGACCAAACCCACCTACCTCTTCCCCTCAACCCCGGCTGCCTGGCATCCCACAGATGCCTCATGCATTTCTCAAACCAATATTTTCCATCTCTTTCCTCATTGATTCTTACTGTTCATATTTTCCCTATCTATCCATGTGCTCTCACACCTCACTCAGTTTCCCTCTTCTTCTTCAAAGGCCCTGCTTCTTCCACAGTTCCATAACTGCAGTGACTCCTAGGGCATGGCCAATGGAATGACTATAGGAATCTTGGAGCGTAAATAACATTTGCCAGAGTATTGTACAGGGGAATAGGAGAAGGCAAAAAATTAGACCAGACAGACACTTGGGCTCAGAGCCATGTAGACAGGGCTGGACAGTCATGCATGTATATAGTTTTATGTTACAAGCTAAGTAAAGTGCTTGCTGTTACTAAAAAAAAAATCTCTATGGGCGCATCCATACAATGGCGCATGTATGTGCCTCTTGCAGCATCTCAAAGCCCTTTGAGATATTGCAAGAGACACAAGAGGGAACAAAAAACCATTCCCCATGCTGCAAATTTGCTGTGTGGGGGGCAAAATGAGATCCCTGGATATCCAGGGGTCAAAAAATACCGTGGGCAAAATAAGTGGGGCGGGGAGGCTCACGTCCTCCACAGATCTGCTCTGGCACCCAACCAGAGCATCTTTATGGCTGGCCCTTGCCCCGGTGCTGAAGCACATTGCCTGTCTCCCACAGCCCCACAAATGGCTGCACTACCCAGCCCCAACATCCTGGCACTTAAGAAAAAAAAAAGACCCACACTCACTGGCTGTAGCAGTGGCTGTTGGGGCCTCTGGGGCCTCGTGGCAGAGCCCCCCCATGTGGTGTGGGGCAGTGGGGATTGGCCTCAGCCCCCTGGCACCTGTGCTGCTGCTGACAGATCATGTGGGTGCAGTGTGGCTCAGCAGGGTGCTGGGTGGTGCCCTGCACTGTCTGACAGCTTGGGGCTATATGGGGAAGGGGATGGGGGGAGGGCTCTGCCACGAGGCCTCAGAAGCCTTGACGGTGGCTACTACAGCTGGTGAGTGCAGGGGTTTTTTCCCCCCTTTTTTTAAGTGCCAGGATGCTGAGACTGGGCGGGG